AATCTCTTAACTTATACTTGTAATTTACTATGATATCAAGTTAAGTATGAGTGTTGAGGGTTTATTGCATTGAAATCAAATTTGTGTGTACCTTTGTTAAGTTCAACCTAAATGTCTTCTTTATTAAGAAGGTAAACCACTCATTTCAAGTATTGAAATAATGCAAAGTACAGTTGTCGTATTCAGTGTGTCTTAGTTTTTACTTCTAAGGATCTGAGGATATACAATGATTAAATGATGATTCGTTTATGACAATCTAGTTCAAACGTAGTCAGTGTTAACCGTGATCCAATACCAGACAGTTTAACAGAGAGTTCTGAACCTGTTTGTCACTGCAGAATCTTGTTGAGTCCCATCGGCTATGGAAGAAAGGCCATATATCAGAGGCCAAGTGGAAGCTATGTGGAAATCGCGACATGCGCTCAAGTGAAGCTCGGAGAATTCTGACGTTGTTGGAGTCTCAACTTACTCATTGCTTGAACGGCCCCGTACAATTACCGCATGTAATTCTACAAGGACAAAGAGACAATGGAAGGTAAATCGAAACACTGTCATATGATTTTACTTTTACACCCATCAACTGTGTAAAAGTGTCAGACTTAATAATATATAATTAGACTCGGGTGACTTTTTAGGGTTCTATTATTGTTATACAGGAATCGCCATCAGCAAGAGTAAATATGGGCTAAATTGACCCGGTCATATAAGTGTAGATTGCATGTTTTATGTCAGGTAAGCTTAAATGCCTCGTTTGTCAGTACAACTATTATATAAACCCTTACCCTTGTGGCAAATTGTAATTGTACATAGCATAAAGTCGCCTTCTAGCTTCGAGGTAGAGGGTATTTCCCTATAGCTCAGTGGTAGAGCGTCCGGCTAGGAACCTAGGGATCGCGGGTTCGATACCCGGTTGAAGCACACTATTCTAGTTCATGTCACAGGTCAGGGAAATCACTATATATGGAAGTAAGCAGAAACTCACGTGACATCGTTACTCCCATAATGAATTTTACGATTCAACCATTCGCATGGATGAGGTTTGGGCACGTGAGCCGTTTTACTACGCATTTTCTATGCAATAGACGTGTTTTGTAAAATGTTTTTTTGGGAAAAAACCGCGGGACGTGGTTTAACTTCAAAAGTCGAAAACAAGTTTGAAATATGTTTCAAATATGTTTGAAATATGTATTTACCAATGCTTTTCATATTATTGTATGAAAAAGTCTAGTAATTGTTTAGCTCTATCTGTACTGTCTTGTCAAACAAATTTCGACGTTTATCTAATTTAATATCAATGGAGCGAACTCTCCTGGTTTAAATTGGTTGTAGATTTTTTTTTCTTTTAATTCATCCCTCGTTTTATTTAACATAATATTATATTTTGACACACGCCACTCTGTCATTAGTTTCATACTACGTTAGCATGTACATCAGTTTAGTTGGTTAACTATTTACGTTTTGTTTCTCTACAGTGAATGGCAAGACATAGCCGAAGCAGTCTCCGCCTATGAGACAAGGGCAGAGTAAGTTCAATTATTTCATTCGTATCTAATAATTCAATTCTAAAGGCAAATGACAATAATGCATTTAGTAAATAATATTTCAAGATGATAGTAACTCAACAAAACACAATATCATTCTTACATGTATAGTGTAAAACATATTTACTCATGCGTTTAGTATATGTCGACATCTTTCTTTGTAGAACGACTATTAACGACTAGTTCTGGTTGTAACGGCAAAGTCCCCCAAACTGCCCCTTACCCCACCCCTCAGGTCCGGCTGATGTCTACTCAAGTGAACCACGTCGTTAATTCCACTTAACCATGGTGTTAACTCCAGTTAATCATAGTGCTAAAGATCACTTTTATTTTTGGGCATATGTGAAAATAAATATTTTACTTGGGTTTATACTGAAATATTTTTGAAAAATTGATTGTTCTTATAATTCATCAGCATGCAATAATTCCAAAAATCGTAATTTCAGTCGGAAAATTAACCACAGGAAAAAAGAGTTACCCTTAAAATTGGTAACAACGAGGTGTCCACTAAAAAACTTAAATTGCATAAAAGTCATCCTAAATAAACAGAACCTGATTTAGTTTCGAGTGTGATGCCCATGAGCACCAATTACAGCTTCACAATGTCTGCGCATGCCCCGAATCAGATCGCGTATCCGGTTTATTGGGATAGCGTTCTACTCAGCTACCAAAGCTGTTCCCAACTCCTGAAGCGTTCTTGACTGAACATTTCTGGCATAGAGAGCTGTCTACAGCATGTCACACATGCTCGATGGGATTTGAATCAGGCGAGCGGGCTGGCCAATCCATTCATGGAATATTCTCTTGCTACAAATACTGCTCAGTCACCCTTGTTCTATGTGGCCAAGCATGATCGTCCATAAGGATACAGTCAGGGCCGATAGCGCCACCATAGGGTCTAATATAGGCATCAAGGATTTCATCGCAGTAAATATGGGCCGTAACGGTAGAATTATGGAAGACATGGAGGTCAGTTTTCCCACGAAGGCTTATACCTCCCCACACCATCACTGAACCTCCGCAATATCGGTCATGTTTCACAACGTTACCTGTCTGGAACCTCTTCCCAGGTTGTATCCATACTCTAACACGCCTGTCGGTGAGGTCGAGACAGAATCTGGACTCGTCAGTAAAAAGAACCGGTTCCCATTCCTGAAGGGTCCAAGTGCTGTGAGCTTGGGTACATTCTAATCGGTCCCTTACATGGCGGACAGTTACGGGAACTCGTGTTCCTTAACAATTTGAACAACTCCTTACTTAGCCGCTAGCTTAGCTCTTGAAAGGGGTGTGCACGTGGAAAAGTGTGCAAGTGCTTTTATGGGTGACTGAACACTCCAACAGGACGATTTCGAAGGCTAAAATTAAAATAATCGCCCGAAACAGTACGGAAGGAAAATAAAACATGCTTTCTAACATTTTGATTTTGCCTTTTTCAAAATATAGGTGATCTTTAGCAAGTTGTGAGTAGTATATATATAGAAAATGCCCACTCTACACTTAAATGTGAGAGACAATATATAACATATCCTATGATATAACAGTGCCATTGGATTCTTGATAAAAGAATAATTCGATGTTTTTGTGCTCCACGGAAAAAAGTGTTAATACGCAAGAACACAAAGATGGTGATATGAGTTAATGTGTTTGGCTTGAGAGAAATATTGTGATATGACTTTGTGAGTTTTGCTTTGCATAGAAGATGGTGATATGAGTCTGCGCTTTCGGCTTTACCAAGAAGATGATGATGTGTGTCTGTTTATTTCGGATTTACAAATAAGAAAATATGGTTGTTTAAGTTTGTTTGCTTTACATAGAAGATGATGATCCGAGATTGTGAGTTTGGCTTTACATAGAAGATGAGGATATGAGTTTGGTTTTACATGTGTCAAGTGAATAAATGTGATTAGTTTATTAGTATTTATACGCTACTTATTGTACTTGTATTTCTGGCATCTAGGCAGGTGATGGTGTTTCCTAGACCGCCGGTTTTCCTGTCGCTACTGTTGGCGAATCTCGGTAGTTTCCAGGAGGATTCACACCGTATCAGCCCAAACATAACCTTTGCTGGTGAAAGGTTGGTCAACAATTTATTATATTATACATGGGTTTAATCTGATCATTTCATTAGGTGATGCATATTGTTAGTTTTGAGACAAAGTTAACGTACTGAGAGTGCATATTGTTGTTGTCTCAGGACCAACTACATAAAATCGACCGTACAGTTAAACTCGTTTGTGAGTTTATCATTAAACACTGGATATACTGGATTATTTTCAAACCTACTGGGTAAACTCAATGTTAAAATATAGCCCTGCATTGGCATGGATGTCCCTTGTCATCAATAAATCATTTTAACACTATATGACTTTAAATGTAGAAAACAAAGAATGTGTTACCTTTTTATGGTACTAATTTTTTTAACTGTTACTGCGGATAAATACTTTCTAAGCAGTCTGTAATTTTTTTTGCACAGGAAATATGAATCTCTTTAATTTCATTAGCAAATAAAATCAATATTTGGTAGTTTCTTTGAGAAATTAAAATTTTAATTGGTATTCCATTGGCATTGGCTTCCATTTGATCATGTAGGAACATTTCTTACATATAGGATCTAACACGAGTTTCCATTTCATATGAGATTTATGAAACGAGTCCAAGGATTTTTCAATTTAATGAATAATTCCTGACGAGTTTTACATATTTCCAATGAAATGAAAACGAGTGTAAGATCTTTTTTATCACATACTCATGATGTGTGGTATTTATTCGTGTAAAACGGCAGCAACCTTGAAATGCAAAAAAGCCGCCATTTTTACTCCAGTGCGTAAGTTTGTGACGTCATGTACTTGTCCTAGCGTGACGTCCCAATTATAATAATTGAAACTTACAACCAATCACAGGGCTGATAGGTCTTATCACATGGGTTAGTACGCAAAACAATATGACATGGGTATATTCACTGGATAACACAGTACATTATGGGATAAATATATGTATTATAGGCATACATTTAACCACCGATATATCATTTCGAGTATTTTATTTGAACTTAAACATCATCAATTGTTTGTAATCTAAATGTTGCTGTTGAGATTTAAGCACTTTGATTTGTACCTGTTTTACAGGTATTACCTGGCCGCTGTTACGTACACTGTGGACCTACGACAGATATTCAGCATTTGGAGTCGAGAGTTTTTGTGCCAAATGGAGAATTTTCAGCTGATGACTTACCACAGGGAAGCTGGTGGTTTTACAGCAACATGGGACAGGGGCAGCTTGATCGGTTTACGTACCCTCCCTGTGGTTATAGGATCAGTATGGCACATTACGTAAGGGTTTTTAGATCTGATCAGCAAGATGGAGCACAGGCAACCCAGAGAGAAGAAGTTACAGATTGGCGTACAGACGAAATGCAAACTGTAGATAGTGAAGGACATGAACACGTAGACAGGTTACAATATGTACAAAGGGTACAACCTGAATATGTACAAAGGGAACAACCTGAACATGCACATGGGGAACAATCTGAACATACACATGGGGAACATCCTGAAAATGTACATTGGGAACAACCTGAACATCCAGATGGAGAACAACCTGAACATGTACATGGGGAACAACCTGAACATGTACAAAGGGAACAACCTGAACCTACATATGTGGAACAACCTGAACATGTACAAGAGGAACAACCTGAACATACACACGGGTAACAACCTGAACATGTACAAGAGGAACAACCTGAACATACATATGGGGAACAACCTGATCATGTACAAAGGGAATAACCTGAACATGCACATGGAGAACAACCTGAACATACTAATGGGGAACAACCTGAACATGTACAAAGGGAACAACCTGAACATGTACGAAGGGAACAAACTGAACATGCACATGGGGACCAACCTGAACATACACATGGGGAAAAACCTGAACATACACATGGAGAACAACCTGAACATGTACAAGGGGAACAACCTGAACATGTACATTGGGAACAGCCTCAACATGTAGTTGGAGAACAACCTGAACATAGACATGGGGAAAAACCTGAACATGTACAAAGGGAACAACCTGAACATGTACAAAGGGAACAAACAGAACATGCACATGGGGAACAACCTGAACATACACATGGAGAACAACCTGAACATACACATGGGGAAAAACCTGAACAAACACATGGAGAACAACCTGAACATCCAAATGGAGAACAGCCTGAACATGTACATGGGGAATAACCTGAACATGTACAAGGGGAACAACCTGAACATACACATGGAGAACAACCTGAACATGTACAAGGGGGATAACCTGAACATGTACAAGGGGAATAACCTGAACATATACAAGGGGAACAACCTGAACATGGACATGAAGAACAACCTGAACATACACATGTGAAACAACCTTAATATACATATAGGGAACAACTTGCACATACACATGGAGAACAACCTTAACATACACATGAGGAACAACCTGAACATGAACAAAGGGAACAGACTGAACATGTACAAAGGGAACAACCTGAACATGTACATGGAGAACAACCTGAACATACACATGTGGAACAACCTTAATATACATATAGGGAACAACTTGCACATACACATGGGGAACAACCTGAACAGACACATGGAGAACAAGCTGAACATGTACAAGGGGAACAACCTGAACATGTACATTGGGAACAACCTCAATCTGTAGGTGGAGAACAACCTGAACATGGACATGGGGAACAACCTGAACATGTACAAAGGGGACAATCTGAACCTGTACATGGGGAACAACCTGAACATGTACAAAGGGGACAATCTGAACATGAACATGGGGAACCACCTGAACATGTACATGGAAAGAAACCTAATCATGTAAAATGGAGAACAACCTTAACATACACATAGGAAACAACCTTACCATACACATAGGAAACAACCTCAACATACACAGGGGGAACAACCTTAACATGTACATTTGTAACAATCTGAAAATACACATAGAGCACAACCTTAACATACATATGGGGAACAACCTGGACATGTACATGGGGAACGTCCTGAACATGTACATGGAGAGAAACCTGAGCATGTACATGGAGAACAACCTTAACATACACATAGGGAACAACCTTAACATACACATAGGTAACAACCTTAACCTACACATAGGAAACAACCTTAACATGTACATGGAGAACAACTTCAACGTACACAAGGGGAACAACTTGAACATAAACATGGAGAACAACCTGAACATGCACATGGGGAACATCTTGAACATACACATAGGGAACAACCTGAACATACACATAGGTAACAACCTTAACATACACATAGGGAACAACCGTAACCATCACATGGGGAACGACCGTAACATACACATAGGGAACAACCTTAACTTACACATGAGGAACAACCTGAACATGTACTAGGGGAACAACCTTAACCTGTACATGGGGAACAACCTTAACATGTACATGGGGAACAACCTTAACATACACAAAGGGAACAACCTTAACATACACATAGCGAACAACCTTAACCTACACATAGGGAACAACCTTAACATACACATAGGGAACAACCTTAACCTACACCTGGGGAACAACCTGAACATGTATATGGGGCACAACCTGAACATGTACATGGTAAACAACCTTAACATACACAAATGGAACAACCTTAACATGCACAGGGAACAACCTTAACATACACATAGGGAACAACCTTAACATACACATAGGAAACAACCTTAACCTACACATGGGGCACAACCTGGAAATGTACTTGGTAAACAACATAAATATGTACATGGAGAACAACTTTAACATGGACATGAGGAACAACCTGAACAAACACATTGGGAATAACCTGAACATGTACAAACTGAACAACCCTAACATACACAAAGGGAACAACCTTAACCTACACCTGGGGAACAACCTGAACATGTACATGGGGCACAACCTGAACATACACATGGGGAACAACCTGAACATGTACATGGGGAACAACCTGAACATACACATGGGCAACAACCACCTGAACATGAACAAGCGGAACAACCTGAACATACACAAAGGGTACAACCTGAACATATATAGGGGGAACAAACGGAACATGTACTAGGGGAACGACCTGAAGATATACATGCTGAACAATCTGAACATGTACATGTGGAATAACCTGAACATACACATGGGGAACAACCACCTGAACATGTACATAGTAAACAACCTTAACATACACATAGGGGAACAACCTGAACATGTACATGGGGAACAATCTTAGCATGTACATGGGGAACAACCTTAATATACACATGGAGAACAACCTTAACCTTCACCTGGAAAACATCCCGAACATGTACAAGGGGAACAACCTGACCATGTACATGGGGAACAACCTTAACATACACAAAGGGAACAACCTTAACATACACATAGCGAACAACCTTAACCTACACATAGGGAACAACCTTAACATACACATAGGGAACAACCTTAACCTACACCTGGGGAACAACCTGAACATGTATATGGGGCACAACCTGAACATGTACATGGTAAACAACCTTAACATACACAAATGGAACAACCTTAACATGCACAGGGAACAACCTTAACATACACATAGGGATCAACCTTAACATACACATAGGAAACAACATTAACCTACACATGGGGCACAACCTGGAAATGTACTTGGTAAACAACATAAATATGTACATGGAGAACAACTTAAACATGGACATGAGGAACAACCTGAACAAACACATTGGGAATAACCTGAACATGTACAAACTGAACAACCCTAACATACACAAAGGGAACAACCTTAACCTACACCTTGGGAACAACCTGAACATGTACATGGGGAACAACCTGAACATACACATGGGCAACAACCACCTGAACATGAACAAGCGGAACAACCTGAACATACACAAAGGGTACAACCTGAACATATATAGGGGGAACAAACGGAACATGTACTAGGGGAACGACCTGAAGATATACATGCTGAACAATCTGAACATGTACATGTGGAATAACCTGAACATACACATAGGGGAACAACCTGAACATGTACATGGGGAACAATCTTAGCATGTACATGGGGAACAACCTTAATATACACATGGAGAACAACCTTAACCTTCACCTGGAAAACATCCCGAACATGTACAAGGGGAACAACCTGACCATGTACATGGGGTACAACCTGAACATACACATGGGGTACAACCTGAACATACACATGTGAAACAACATTAATATACATAAAGGGAACAACTTGCACATACACATGGAGAACAACCTTAACATACACATGAGGAACAACCTGAACATGTACATATGAAACCACCTGAACATGTACACGGAGAGAAACCTGAGCATGTAAAATGGAGAACAACCTCAACATGTACATGGGGAACAAGCTGAACATGTACAAGGGGAACAACCTGAACATGGACATGGGGAACAACCTGAACATGTACAAAGGGGACAATCTGAACATGTACATGGAGAACAACCTGAGCATGTACATGGAGAGAAATCTAATCATGTAAAATGGAGAACACCCTTAACATGTACATGAGGAACAACCTTAACATACACATAGGAAACAACCTTAACATACACAGGGGGAACAACCTTAACATGTACATTTGGAACAACCTGAACATGTACATATTGAACAACCTTAACATACACATCGGGAACAACCTGAACATGTACAAGGGGAACAAACGGAACATGTACACGGGGGACAACCTAAACACGTAAATGGAGAACAACCTGAACATACACATGTGGAACAACCTTAACATACACATCGAGAACAACCTGAACATGTACAAGGGGAACAAACGGAACATGTACATGGAGAACAACCTGAACATGTAAATGGAGAACAACCTGAACATACTCATGTGGAACAACCTGAACATGTACATATTGAACAACCTTAACATACACATCGGAAACAAAATGAACATGTACAAGGGGAACAAACGGAAAATGTACATGGAGAACAACCTGAACATGTACATAGGGAACAACCTTAACCTTCACATGGGGAACATCCCGAACATGTAATAGGGGAACAACCTGAATATGTACATGGAGAACATCCTAAACATGGACATGGGGTACAGCCTGAACATACACATGGGGAACAATCCGAACATGTACAATGGGAACAACTTTGAACATGTGAACTTGTGAAACAACCTTAATATACACATGGGGAACAAACTGAACATGCACATGGGGAACAACCTGAACATACACACGGGGAACAATCTAAATATGCACATGTGGAACAACCTTAACATGCACATGGAGAACAACCTCGATATGTACATTGGGAACAACCTGAACATGTACATGGGGAACAACCTGAACATGTACAATGGGAACAACTTTGAACATGTGAACTTGTGAAACAACCTTAATATGCACATGTGGAACAACCTTAATATACACATGGGGAACAAACTGAACATGCACATGGGGAACAACCTGAACATACACACGGGGAACAATCTAAATATGCACCAGTGGAACAACCTTAACATGCACATGGAGAACAACCTGAACATGTACATGGGGAACAACCTGAACATACACACGGGGAACAATCTAACTATGCACATGTGGAACAACCTTAACATGCACATGGAGAACAACCTGAACATGTACATGAACGTGAACATTGTGGAACCATCTGAACACATGCAGAGGGAACGATCTGACCATGTAGATAGCGTACAAGCTAAACTTTTAGATTTAACAACACATTAACGTACATGTTGAATAAGATTGGCATGTAGACAGGGTATAATCTAGTCGAGGACACGACATTCAACCAAACTTATGAAAAATATACAAACAGGGCAAGCATGTTTATGCTTGTTTGGTATGCATGTTTGCCTAAAGCTGAAAACATCTTTTTTATGTCGATAACTCGTCTCACATTTTTCGAACGACATATTCATAAACTTAT